CGCTGTCCGTTTTTCGAAATTCGAACCCGAAGGCCTCGTAATTGTCAGTCAAACCCGTTGACTTTGATTTTGACCAAAAATTCCAAATTTCCGAAAAGTCATATTTTATGCTTTCGACGTCCTGAATCCGAATCCGAAGTCCGTTTCGCCAAATTCAAACCCGGTAAGCCGTCTTTCACTGATTTATCACCCGATTCGATCCGTTTATCGTAATTAAGCTCCGTTTCTGATATAATTTATGCTGATATGTATCTGAGGAATTATTGGAAGTTGAATTGAAGATCAAAGGCGTTCGAATGGAATTTTTATGGTCGATCAGTATTACACGGAAATCGAGGTAATACTTTACTACCTCTTTATGCTTTATGGAACATGTTGATATTGGTAAATGCATGAATAAGATAATGTTGGTCACTTTTGTGGAGTTGAATAATTTATTCACTCGATATGAATGTGGTAGAAATTCTGTAACTGAATACGGATCGAATGACTAAGATAAGAGATTGATAATTGTTAGAATTAAATTACAAGTTTGTGATTGGTGATAAAGAAATCAGCTCTGGATTTGTAACTTATATTTTATATCATCAAGGGTTAAATGTTAAAGATACTTGGATGAAAAATTATGAGAATACTCCGATATGGTAAAATTACGAAATTACCCTTATGTTGGAAAATGATAAGAATTGCCCCTGGAAGTTGGTTAATAACTCTGAAAAGACATATTGATCCGATATAACTACTGATGTGCATAAGAAATGTTAGTTTTATTTGGAAATTATGGATAACCGGTTTTAATCCTATGAGAGTTTGTGAAGGAATCATTTCAAAATCAAAGAATGTTCGGGAAAGCAATTGATCATAGGATCTCTAAATTATAATTATTTTCGTTAAGTGCTAATATTGAAATTATTTGGTTAAGAAATTACGAAAATGCCCTTGAGAGATAAAATAGTCTGAATTAACCCTGAATGAGAGAGTACTTTGAGGATTTGTACTTAACTCGATTAAGTACGAATTTAATTGTTAAGATCCTGTCTTTGTACAAAAAAAATTTATAATATTACGTTTGTAAAATCTGAGAAGACACTTGACCCGAAAATATTCGAATAAGGGGTAAATACTTGAAGAGTAATTTATTGGAGGTATTCTGCTGACAGAATTGTTCGAAAGGACTGAAGTAAATGATAAGATTGAATTAAATAATAAGACCGGATGGAAGGAAATGATTGAAATATTCTAGAATTATAAAATGACCAAATTACCCCTGGAATGGAAATAACTCAAGAATGTCACCAAGCTCAGGAATGAATGGATATACTCAAGCTTTGAAATGAATAGAAAAAAAATGTTAAGCACCAAAATGACCAAAATGCCCTTATGACCTAGAATAAGTAAATGTCTTGGATTAATTAAGAAATCCAAATAAACATGGATGTTGTGCTACCAGTAAAAGTTGTGAAACGCAACTTAAGTGATTAACCAACGTTAGTACTATATCATTACCTGAATGATATAAGTATCACTTGAATGTTTGTTCATCAGCTCAAATTTGGATCGATGATAATTCTGGAAGTACTTGGCGCAGCTCAACTCTAGAGCGCATACAGTACTAATAAGTGAGTAGTCGTTAGTCAAATCAACCACGAATACCAGAATGACTTTATTATATGAATAAATTGAAATGAAATGTAGTACAACGTGTATTTGAAATTCAGAAACGTCTGAATTATTCTGGAAAACTTTAAAGTAATCGAGATAGACTTGCTTACCAAACGAACTAAGTAACATCAATGAGTAAGGATTAAATAGGTGATTTGATGAGTTTGGAAACACTGTTGAACTTACATGATGAATTGTCATTATGGGTTATGAGCCATGGATCAAGTACGTCAGTATTTCCTGATATTGTTGAAACGTGGAAATGAAATAAAGACCGTTGGAAGATTTATTCAGTGATGATTATGGGGATGATCTATGGATCTGCACTATGGTATTAAAGAGTGAATACACTGGAAGGATAATGAATTGACTTGTTGACATGCATCAGTTTGAGACTTGTGTAACTCGAGTTGTTTGATAATATGATCGATAGTCGTAGATTGTAAATGACTTGAATCTTCGATTCTATATTTCATCTAAAATCACTTCGGTCATGTTTGAAAAAAAAAAAAACAAGTAACGCAGATGGAAAAGATTCTGAATATCTCATTTGGTTCAATTGGGCTGAAATCCTATGAATTTAAAGTATATTCCTGAATACCCCTGATTGTTTGGGTAATGGAATCACTCACAGTAAATCTGAATTTAGAATTATTATGTATAAAGGTTCCTGAACGTTTTCCTAAAGCACACGAAAATATAGTGGGATTCTAATGTATCAACATTAAATGTCTGGCTAGATCGGTTAGTAATCGATTCTCCTCAATAGGACCTTGTTCCAGGAATTCGATCAAATTTCATAAGTTTCATGTTATCCAAAATGATAACTACAATGGCCTCTGGAAATACTGGGATTCTCTAGTGTGTTCCCTACTTATTATTGAACTATTTTATTGGTTTTAATACGTGGTACACCGAATTCATTGGTTATTGTTTTATGGATGCACCAATTTAATGTGACAATTTATGGAATATGGCTGCTATCTAATTTTTGTTTTGAAATGGTATATGATTACCATGTTTTTGGATTTATGGAATTTATGTCACGGTGCAATTGAATTTTGGAATTGAATTACGATGGAATAGCTCTGATCAAGCTAACTGGGCCTAATGTGACTCTTGAGGGCCCCAAGATGTTTCATTAGGTCGGCTTTCCTTTGCTGTGTGCTTAGGGTAAGCTATATGGACTTATTGACTTGGGCTTAAGGATACAAGCTTCAGAGCCTATCCTTAAGTCGGTTTTCTTTTTGCTATGTGCATAAAGTAAGCTATATGGAAAATAATTTTGGCAACTACTGATGGTGTACCAGAAAAGGGTTTAAACTATGATTTTCAAAAGTTAAACTCTTTTACGAAATTGTGATATTTACTGGACTATGATTTGTACCTATTATGATTTTATTATACTGTTGGAACACACTAGACATCCTATTCGATCTCCTGAAAATGTCATACTTTGAAAGGTTTCTTATGAACTGAGATTCATGGCTTCTACTCGATGAACTTCTAAGGGAACCCCAAATTATTCTACAAGCTGGTATACATATGATTCAATAAGGAAATTATATGGCTTTCTATTTATCTACATGTCATGTAGCATCATCTGGTAGTTCTGTATTACTGAGCTTTCCAAAGCTCACTCTATTACTCACCTTTTCAGGTTAAAACAATTGTACCAGTGCATCTATCGACTTCAGTAAGGGAGTTCTTCCGGCGTGGTTGCAGAGTATGGTATTTGTGATTAGGGGGCATGTAATTGTATTTTGATTTATATACGAGTTTGGAAATCTGTTTTATTTTTAAATAGTGATAAATGATTTTATAAGTTTACATGTTCTGATAAAAAGTTTTAAAATTTCAGTTATTTTTACGGTGGGTCGCTCCGGTGACCCTAATGTGACTTCCCGAATCGGATCGGGCTACCCGCATCGGTTTGGGGTGTTACAGTTTTTCTATGTGTCATGCCACCTCAGCGAAGGCGCACCCTTGGGATGTGCTTTTTTGTCACATGTGCAAAGTGTGTTACCCTAAACGGTGTTGATTTGATAAATATTGGAAAAAGAGTGTCAGAATAGTATTTTTTTTTATTATTTGGGCGATTTTCGAATAAAATTGCCCAACTATGTAGTCTTTTTACTTTTGTCATTGATCTTTCAATTTTATCAATCAGACCACTTAACTATTTAAATGTGTTCAATCAAGTCACTAACTGTTAATAGTTAAAGAAAATATTGACATTGCAGTTAAAAAAATTGGCATAGTTATGCATTTAGTCCTTAATGTTTATATATATCAACATGAATGGAAGGTATTTTATTTAATTATTTTATTTCCACCTAATCATATGGTGACATATATCACTAATGGATGGAAAATTGAAGGTTTTGGAAAATTGAAAGTGGGAGAAAACCCCCAAAGTGGGGTAGGAGAATCAAATCTGGGTATGTATATATATATATAATTCAATTTTTTAACAAATATATAAAATTATTTGATAAATTTAACAACAATTTATATATATATAACCATTAAATTTATTTTTTAACTTAAGTAATAATTTTAATTTTCTTACTAATAATTATATATATAAATTATTTATTTTTATTAAAATATTTTAAAAAAATTAACTCAAAATTATTTAAAAAATTTAAATTATTTGATAAAATTTAACAACAATTTATATATATAATCATTAAATTATTTTTAAACTTAAATAACAATTCTTTGGGTGCTTTTCTTCCACTCTCAATTTTCCATAAAATCCGATGGTGACATGTGTCACCATATGATTAGGTGTAAATAAAATACTTAAATTAAAAAAACCTTTTATTTGTGTTGTGATACGTGTCATAATATGATTAGAGGATTAAATTTATTAAATTAAATTAAATTAGGACCAAATTGATAAAATATATAAGCATTAAGGACAAAATGCATAATTATGCCAATTTCTTTAACTGTCATGTCTGAATTTCTGTTAAAGGTTAACGACTAGTGGCTTGATTAAATACATTTAAATAGTTAAGTGATTTGATTGATAAAATTAAAAAATCGATGGTAAAAGTAAAAGGACTACATAGATGAGTGGTCAATAGTATAGTTTATCCTAACTTATAATGTTACAAGTATAACACAAATTTTAAAACTTCATTAATGAAAAAAAAAGTTGTGCAAACACTAATAATCATAGTTGTGGTTTACCCAATTGAAAACGGCGGCACTGATAAGCACAACTGAGTGAAAAAAGAGCCAATGATAGCATCCAGTTTTCACCACCAGTCAATCTGCTTCACTGTTTCATTTTAATTTTCTCATTTTGGAACTCGACTCTTTTTTTTCCCTTCTTTCTTTAAGCCGAGGTTCTTCGACTGGGTAACTCAGAAATGGCTGTTCGGACTCTGAGTCATTTCTTACGAGTTCTGATTTTTGTGGTGTTCTCTCCACGGCTGAATCCTCCCTTGTTGGCTGTCGCAAATAAGTTATTCTCATAGTGTCGCTTTTATGTGTTTGGAGTTGTTATGCTTATCTGAAACCGTGATCTCGCTGTTGGTTTGTTGGAATCTCGCCAGATCTGATTTGTATTTGGTTAAAATCAACGGCGTTGGTGATGTCGCTTATTTCTCTTTCAAATCCCACTGGTAATTCCTCTCTTTAACTTTCCATTTCAGAGTAGAAATTTTACTATTCACGCTTTTCAAGTTGGTTGCTTAGGAAAATCGAGGACTAAGAACAAAGCTATATCGTTATTTTTCTTTTCAGCCTATATTGACGATAACCTAATTACTCAAACAGATGGATTAAGATTAGTCGAGAAGTAGAGTTTTATGTATTATTTTATTTTCATCTTGCTTCTTGCACTAGGGATGTAAGAAAGAAAAGCTTTCACTGTTTCATGCAATTATTTTTGTTTAGTTGGAAACTTAGTTTGGGACAGTAAATTTCCTGCTAGTTGTTTTTCATGCTACAATTATCACTGTGTTTTGGGTAAAGAGTGAGAAGAAGAGAGATAGAATTCTAATAATCAAAGAATTTTATCAGTAGATAATTTTTTTTTCGCAAAATAGTTGTAGTTTTAGATGCACAAGTCCCTGAACGAAAGAAGGTTGATTATTTTGCAAAGAAGGAAGTATACTTTCACTTAGGTGATTTAGATTTACAATCTTTTGTAGCCAGTCACGTTTGTGATGCACATTTAATTTTGGAGTTCTTTAGTGTTGCAGTGTAGAAACTGGATTTCTTTTAATCATTGATATTTATACGGTTCCATACTTGCTTAATTGAGTGTTTTCTTCGCATAACGTCAACAGGAGCATTGGGAAATGTCTGTTCATTTCTGGTCAAAGTTGTTGTTCTTTGTTGTGCAATTTCCATCACCAATGCTGATTTTTCCAGTAATCTACTCCAAGCTCCAGCACAATCTCCCACCTTGGCGGCTGAGGGTGCACCGGCTGTTTCTGATCTTCCCTCACCTTCCAATCTGCCATTGGTTCATAGACCACACCGAAGACATTTTTCACCACACAGCGCACCAACACTTTTAGCGCCAACCCTACCTCCTCTTCGTGGTCCATTAATAATTGCCAGTCACCCTCCTATCAGTTCACGCCTATCAAAACCTTTGATGAAGAGGAGTGCATCATTGCCTCCATCATTGCCTCCTGGTGTGGATTTGCCAAATATTGCTCCCGCACAGATCAGTCCTGGTCCAATTTCTGCCGGTTTAGCTCAACCACCATTGTCTCCTGAAGGGTCCAGTAAGATATTTTCTAAATCATTTTACTACCAACTTTATTATATTTTCTTCTTTATGTATTCATTACGTAATATCACAAAACATCTTTTGTAGCACTTCTATGCACGATGTAGTTAGAAGGTAGCATCCTGAGCATTTATCGTTTATATCTTTACACTGTATGAGATGCTTACATAGTATTTTCTCACTTGGCCAGGCTGTTGCAAACCAGGTTCAATTTTGAAACGAGGGGCTCATGGTTGTCACTGTGTGTATCCCATAAAGCTCGACCTTCTCCTTTTAAATGTCTCTCAAAGCACAAATCGGAATGATTTTCTAGTTGAGTTAACTTCTCAGCTTGATTTGTTGCCTGATCAAGTCGAGATTATCAATTTTTATATGCTCAGCTTATCAAGATTAAATATCTCTATGGATATTATTCCACACACGGGGATCAGTTTCTCTGCCAGTGATGCATCAAAAATTAACTCTTCACTTGTGATGCATAGGGTTCGTTTTGACTCCAGTGTAGTTGGAGATTACAAAATCCTTAATTTTATCTGGTTTGAGCCTCCAGCGCCTTCCCCAGGTAACTTATGATACAACTTAAATTCTTTTAGGATCAAATGACTTCTATGTTTTTCTTTCTTATATCTATGGCTTTCCTGGCAGTTCATAGTTTTTGTCCTGACAAAGTAGCATCTTATTTACAGCTCCTGTCTCGGTTTCTAGACCAAGAGCAGCATCGGCGCATCAATCCTCCAATTCCACATCACTCAACTCCTCAAACAAGAGAAAAAATTTAAATTTTATTTTTATTTTTGGTATTTCTGCTGGCATACTGGTTTTTTCTATAATATCAGTGCTTATAATTTGTTCGTGCATATTCCATGAAGGAAGGACAAAAGCGTATCCCAAGGAATCTGGTACGTGTATAAGCACAAAAATTATGAGTTTATATGATGTGGATGAAATATCGAATAAGAAAACTTTTTTTTCATGAATGACTATCACTGTGAACTGAATATCAGTATTGAGCTAAAATAGTAGGCAGAGAAAAAGTTTCAGAACCCTAAACATTAGCAGAACCAAAAAAATTAACACTTGGTTTGCCTGATTTTTCATTTTTAGTCACACCTTTTGAACGAGAATGCAGAATGAATTTTGTGGAATTGTTTTATTTTCAAATTCTTGCTGGTAATATGAATGTTCTAACTCCTTTGATTTTTATTTGTTTATTTTCAGTAAAGCCAAGGACAGCTGATGCTGTTGCCCAAGCAGGGTCTTTCCCCCACCCAAGCAGTACAAGGTTTCTACAGTATGAAGAACTCAAAGAAGCAACAAACAACTTTGCACCTTCAAGCATACTAGGGGAAGGGGGGTTCGGCAGAGTTTTCAAGGGTGTTTTAACTGATGGTACTGCTGTAGCAATTAAAAGGCTTACCAATGGAGGGCCTCAAGGAGATAAAGAGTTTTTGGTTGAAGTTGAGATGCTTAGCAGGTTGCATCATCGTAATCTTGTGAAACTTGTAGGTTACTATGGCAGTCGCGAGTCTTCACAAAACCTGCTTTGTTATGAGCTTGTTCCGAATGGAAGTTTAGAAGCCTGGCTTCATGGTATCTTGTCTCTCTAAATTTGACCCCATGTGCAGCTTGTTCGTTGATGTTATCCTTTTATCTGCAGCCAGCCTTTTATCTGCAGCCAGTTGTGATACATTATACTGACTTTGCTCCTGTTTTGCCTCAGGCCCCTCGGGAGTAAAGTGTCCTTTGGACTGGGACACCAGAATGAAGATTGCACTTGATGCTGCAAGAGGACTTGCATACTTGCACGAGGACTCCCAACCATGCGTTATCCACCGAGATTTCAAAGCATCCAACATATTACTCGAGAATAACTTTCATGCTAAAGTTGCTGATTTTGGCCTTGCCAAACAAGCACCCGAAGGCAGAACAAATTACCTGTCTACTCGCGTAATGGGCACCTTTGGGTTGGTTTTCATACAGTACTATAAATCTTGCTCTCTCGTTTAAATTTGACACTAACGTAGAATGAGATTGATTTTTAGGTATGTAGCTCCTGAGTATGCTATGACTGGACATCTACTTGTAAAAAGTGATGTTTACAGCTATGGAGTTGTACTACTCGAGTTGCTCACTGGAAGGACACCTGTCGATATGTCTCAGCCATCGGGACAGGAGAACCTCGTCACCTGGGTGAGTAGTAACCTAGGGTTAGCCTCACTGTTGCTAATGCTTCTATATCCAGATTTTATTCGATTAAGAATTCATACGCATAAACCTCTATTAATCTCTTGCCCTGCTATATAACTCAAGTTGGTTGTTCTTTCAGGCGAGGCCAATCCTGAGAGACAAGGATCGGTTGGAAGAGCTTTCTGATCCAAGGCTTGGAGGGCAGTACCCGAAGGAAGATTTCATGCGGGTTTGCACAATTGCCGCTGCTTGTGTTGCTCCTGAGGCTAGTCAAAGGCCAACAATGGGTGAAGTAGTACAGTCATTAAAAATGGTGCAGCGCGTTACAGAATATCAGGATTCCGCATCAACCATTTCCAATAACCAGCCCAACCGGAGGCAGTCTTCAACTACTTTCGAGTCTGATGAGACATCTTCAATGTTCTCTTCTGGTCATTTCTCTGGTCTCGGTGCTTTCGAAAATGACATCTCACGTACAGCAGTTTCCTCTGAAGATCTTCACGAGGGACGATGAACACTTTCCAAGGGAGAGTAATTGAAGCAGACTCTTGTATGCGGAAGCTCGACAATGGAATACAAGAAGGAGAAATGTTCGCAGTAGGAAATTAGAAAATTTGAAATAGGACTTTCAGAAGGGTTTTAGTTCATGTAGAATTTTGATGGATGAAATATGGGTGCTTCTTCCCAATCGTTGTTGTACCACTGTTAAGTTTTCTCCATGCTGGGATGAAGTTTTGTATTTAACCTTTTATTTTCCTTTTTCATCACAATGGCTTTATAGGATTATATTAACAGCTTACGTGTTGAAAGATCCAAGATAACTTCGAAAAAATTATTATTCCAATATTTAAAACTAATATGCAATTTCACGAATCAAGGGATGTTGTTAACGTGTTATCCATTAAATTTTTGGATTCATACACGATGCTTGTAAGGATGTATATGCATTCAGTGTTTAATTATTGAGAGCATTTTTGAATAAATATTATTTTATATTCATCTTAATAAAAAAAAAGTAATATGTAATAAATAAAGGTAAAGATATTGCACAAGTCCTGATACATTAATGCAGACTTTATTTTGGTCTATGTACTTGAGAATGAAAAGAAAACTACACGTACGCTAGAAAAATGAATAAAATGATCATTTTACAAATAGGAAATAAGTTTTTTCACAAATAGAAATAGGATGTTGAAATGACAAGCGTCTAATTAATGTATGGGTAAAGTATAGTAATGGTCACTGAACATTTCTAAAGCTTGCATTTAGGTCCCCCAACTTTTAAAACTTGCAATACAGTCCCCCAACATTTATTCCGTTTGCAATATGGTCCCCCAACTTAAACCACCGTTAGAAATTAGGGTAAATTATATAAAAGGTTATTGAACTTTTTAGACACTTGAATTTAGGTCCCCCAACTTTTAAAACTTGCAAAACAGTCCTCAATTTCATTCTAAACCCCAATTTCCAAAGTAATTCAATTTCATTCTCAACCCTAAATTCCAAAATAATTCAATTAAATTCAATTATGTCAGATTTATTATTATTTAATTTCATCTTATTTCATGTGATACGTATTTTTTATATAAATATAATAGTATAATTCTTATCTGTTGAAAAAAAATTTTAATTAAAAAAAAGTAGTTAGTATATAGAAGAGGTTGAAAATAATTTGAATTTTAAATTTATAAAATGTTATTTTGACGTATAAATAAAAGTGTAAACTACTAGGTTGACAACTTAACTATCTAGCCCTTTTTACTTTTGTCATCGATCTTTTAAATTTATCAATCATACAACATAATTATTTAACTATTTCAACTAAGCCACTAGTTGTTACCAATTGATACAAATGATGAAGTGGCAGTTAAAAGGAATTGACATTATTATACATTCAATCATTGTTATTTATATAATCAATTTGGTCCTAAATTAAATAGAATTTAATAAATTAATCATTTAATTAGGATCTGACATGTGTTAGCACATGATCATGACACGTGTCATTGGTGACGCATGTCACCACCTAATTATTTATATATGCTATCAATTTGGTCCTAAATTAAATAAAATTTAATAAATTAATCATTTAACCAGGATCTGACATATGTTAACACATGATCATGATATATGTTATTGGTGACACATGTCACCACCTAATTAGAAGAAAATTAAGTTACAAAGAAGTAAAATTTGGGTCTTGGGCAAACTCAAACCTGAGCCACGCAAATGAAAGATACAGGGTGGAGCCACTAAGCTAACACCATCGTTTGTGTTAAGAGATATACAATAATACATATACTAATAGTATGACCAATTCCAGAAAAAAAAGAATATAATGGAAAACGGAAATAATGAGATTTGAACTTCGGCAAAAAATTTGAAAGCAATAAATGATGGGAAAATATTATATTTTTTTACAATAAAAATATTATATTTGATAAATTGTTTGATAGATTTAATATATTTTTTAAATATTAGTTGATACAATATTTTAAAAGAATAAATTTAAGATTTATATATTTTTAAACTAAATTTAATATTTATATTTTCATATTTATAATTCATGATTATATATATATCTTAAGTTGAGTATTTCTAATATAATTAATAATTTTAATTTCTTATTAAAAATGAAATATTCAAAAAATATAAATGATTCATACATTAATATATGAATATATTTTTTTATTTATACATCTAAATATAAATATACATTTATATAAATATATTTTTATTCGTATATTGAAATATTTTGATTAAAATATAAACATATTTTAAATACTAGTTTATACAAGAAAAATAAAATATATCAAAAATATAAATGATTCATACATTTAAATATAAATTGAATCATTTATATTTTCTATACATCTATATTTAATAAGAAAATAAAATTATTGGGGGACTGTTTTGAAAATTTTAAAAGTTGGGGACATAAATTCAAGTGCCTAAAAAGTTCAATGACCGTTTATATAATTTACCCTAATTTTCTAACAGTTTTTTAAGTTGGGGGACCATATTGCAAACAGAATAAATGTTAGGGGACTGTATTGCAATTTTTAAAAGTTGAGGGACCTAAATGCAAGCTTCAGAAATGTTCAGTGACCATTACTATACTTTACCCTAAAATATATCTATTCAAGTGCGCAGGGTTTTAACCTGCGCACGCTTTTTTGCAGCGTAAAACCGTGTGAAGAAAAGACGAGGAAAGAAACGAAGGACGAACGGGAATGAGAGAAAAGAAAAAGGGCGCGAGATACAGAAGAGGGGGTGAGTCGGTTCAGTGAGTCAAGCGACCGAGTCAAATTATCTAAAAATCCAAAATCCCCAACTTCGCAGCCCACATCCAAAAGGAAAGCACAACAGGAGGGTGTGGCAATAGCCAAAAAATGGTGAACGAGGAGATGATTGTATTTGTTACCACACCATCCGTCCATCCTTCTCTAACCCTAAAACCTCTTTATCCTTATAACCCTTCTCTTCCTTTCTTTTTCCCCCCCTCTACGAAAATCATTATACTCTTCTTTCACATCATCACCGAACCTATTTACCTTAGTCTCTCTTCTTTTCTCTCTTTCCCCCCTTCCTCTCCTTTTTTATTTTCCCTTCTCTTTTGTGGGTTCCTGGGTTTCTTCTTTATTGCCATCTCTAGGAGGTACGTAGTAGATTATTCGTGGATTCTTTCTGTTTTTTCTATTTCTCGTTTGCTGATTTGATCTGGGTTGAATTCTGGTTAATTTTCTGTTATCAGTTTCTCGTTCGATGGATTGATTCGTGAGATTTTCGGTGTTTTCTAATCTCGGGTTTGCTTTTCGTTTGATGGTGATTTGACCCTTTCTGAATTGTGGGATAATTTTATTCTCTAATTGTTTGTAACAATTTATTTCATAGAATTATTTGGTTTTTACCCTGTGGATTTGGGGTAATTCCCTCAGATATTGCATTTGAATATTTTTGCTTCCTTTCCCGGTTTACTTAATCTTGATATTTTGATCAGTTGCTTTTGGAATTTAAGTCTCTGATTGTTTACATTGGTTAAATTCCATTAGATGAAGCATGCTTCTAGCGTTTTTCAGGGATCTAGTCTTAATTGCCATTCTATCATGTATTTTACAGGTTTTGAAGGATGCTATATCATATATGAGATTCTTTAGCCTTTTTTTGTTCTCCGTTTTCTTGTTTGATCTGATCTGACTGTGATAAATTGAAGTTGCTTTGTTATGATTCGATATGTATGCAATTCAAATCTCATAATTTGATTTTCCTTTCTTTTTAGGATTAGTGATCTTGTTGGAGCATCCTTCTGGGCAAGATAGCTAATAACGATTTTATCACCATGGAAGAGTTTTCTGGTATTCGTCTTAATGGTGTGAACAATGCTGTGAAGAAGAAGAGGAGTCGGCCTTGTCGTAGGCCTCATCCTGATTCACAGTCTTTTTCTGAAAGTCAAGATCACTTGCCTTTGTCATCAACACCGCCATCAGATGATGTGAGCAAGGTCTCTAGCAATGAGAGTGCTGGTGGTGATGCTAATTCAAAGCGGAAAGAAGCCAATCTTAATCAATATGTTTCTAAGATTTCTCCTGATACTGGTTTTGAAGTTGAGAAAACTCATAAAAGAAAGAAAGAAGACAGAGGGTTCAATGCGTTTTATGACAATGAGCCTGGGCGAAGTGGGTCAAATAGTAAGCGTTCTAGCAAGGGTGTACTTGCTCCTGCTAACTGGAAAAGCACAAGCAAGGGGAAGGAGTGGTCGGAATTAGAGTCGAAGGATGCTGAGATTCAGAGTTCAGTGCAAGCTGTTACTGATAGTAATGAAAGCAAGGTTAAAAAGGTTAAACTCAAGGTTGGAGGAGTCATGCGCACAATTCATGCCAACTTGGCAGCTAATGGGTTGCCAGAAACCGTGTCTTCTGCGAGGAAGAACAATCTCCAGGTCGTTAGCTTTTGGTTTGATAATGGCAATTTTATATTGAAGAAGTGTTCTCCTTTGTTGTTTAAAGTGGATGTATTTCCTCTCAGTTAAGTTAGTAAAATGTATTTTATAGCAGGCGGCCACTGGAATGGTGTTAACGAAGGATTTAGTTTAGGAGCTAAAAACTACAATACCTTATGATACTGCATGCATATAATTATCATGCTCTGGATTATGTATGGGTTTATTTGATGGAACTGTATTCCTTTGGGTGATGGATCATGCGGAATTAAATGATTTGGTAATAATATTGCGAAGTCTGGCACTTGTCAGGAAAATTATGTATCATTGTACTTTGCAATTATTATTTACAGCTTTTAGTAACATTTCGAATTCCACATGATCTTATTATTATGTCTTTTTATTGCAGGGAAGTACCAATGATGGGCACTCGCCTACTGATAGGAGTGGTTTGCAAGGCGTACCCTGGAAAGATTTCTCCAAAGGTGGATTTGGTTTTGTGAAAGAGGATTCTTTGGTGGGAAGGACTTCTGGAAAGAATATCTCTGGTAAACTAGGAGACCATGCTGGCACGGTTCGTAAAAGCAAGCGGGTCCCTAACAGACGTCTACTTGATGGGGAATTCAGTGAAGATGACAATGATGATGAGATCCGCTACATGGAAAAACTTAGGACTTCAAAGATTAGTCCAGAATATAAGGAAGATGAATCTAGTAAGAAACAGAAAAAGATCTCTACGGTTTCCAACATAGAAAATTTTGGCATGTCAAGGTCGGCCAAAAATGAGAAAAGGAAGCATAAATCAGACAAGGTATCTGAGGATACCGACTATGAGGAGGAAGATGAATTAGTATCTGATACTGAGCTTCAAGGTAAGAAGAAAAAGAAGCAGAGAAAAGAGCCTGTTGACACATCAATGGAGAGTAAGAGGGAAATAACTCTCACAACACGTCAACGTGCTCTTCAATCAAGCAAAGATACGCCTTCTGCACCTGGTTCAAGCTTAGTTGAGTTTCCAAACGGTTTACCGCCTGCACCATCAAGAAGTAAGCACTTGTTTCAGCCATAACACCTTATGCAATTTATTGGTCATTGCCCTCCCTTTTTACAGTAATTTTTGTGGATTGTAGAGCAAAAGGAGAAACTCTCAGAAGTGGAGCAGCAGCTAAAGAAGGCGGAGGCTGCTCAGAGAAGAAGGATGCAACTTGAAAAGGCCAACAGGGAATCTGAGGTTTGTTCCCCTCTCCAGATCATCATATGTTTAAATATGAATTTTAGAACTTCTATGCAAAAAGTTGAGTGTGTTTGAATTAATTTTTAGGCTGAGGCTATTAGAAAAATACTTGGCCAAGACTCCAGTAGGAAGAAGCGGGAAGAAAAGATAAAAAAGCGTCAAGAAGATTTGGCACAGGTACTTGGAAACAAAAGTTTACTGAAACATAATTTTTTTTTTGCAAGTCTTATAAATTTATGTCATTTTGTCTTAATCTTTCCATACGTGTATATATGTAGGAAAAGGCTGTTAATGAAGAGATGCTTGCATCAAATACCATCAGATTGGTCATGGGTCCTGCAGGAACAACAGTGACATTTCCCAGGGATTTGGGTTTCCCTACTATATTTGATTCCAAACCCTTGAGGTATTTACCACTTGCAAAAGTTGATTCAGTTTAACAAATGTTTGGTTCCTTATGACTTTAGTCGATCTGAATATCCAGTTACCCGCCGCCTCGTGAAAAGTGTGCGGGTCCATCATGCGCTAACCCATACAAATATCGAGATTCGAAGTCGAAGCTACCTCTTTGTAGTCTGCAGTGCTACAAGGCGATTCAACAGCATCTGACCTGCTAGTCTTGCTGAAAATCAAGCTCTGCCCTCTTGTGCATGTGGTAAACTCTGCACATTTATATTCATTTCATCTCAGGGACTGATTAAAAATTGGGCTAAATGTCTCCCCCTTTTTGGAGTTGATATTAATGTAATTATTTTAGGTACAAAAAATTAGTTTACTGAGTTTGTTTCCTGAGGGTCGATCTGGGAATTGACCCCATGCTCATTGCTCAACTCTCTTTTGCAATGGCATCTTTATGGGCAAATGACCACTTGGTTCAACATTGCAACTGGCCACTTCATATTTCGTCTTTCTAAACTAATTTTATCAGATTTATCGCTTTGTTTGTGACGATCTATTTGTGGTATGAGCCATTTTGAAATTATTTCATGTAACCAAAAATTCAAAAATAGTATTATTTTCATTTTTTTAATTTAATTATTTTTATTGCTATTGTATCAAAATAGTGAAGTATGTTTAATTATATTCAGCAATTTGAATGATGTTATTTTATATTAATTGTATGAAATATATTATTTATTGAATTAATGTATTAAAAATCAGGAGAAACTACTTCAAAGGCCATTCAATTTTTAAAATGCGATCAGTTTAGGCGCCATTATTAAGGGGGAAAAAAGGTAAAATATGCATTTTTTTTACCTAAACTATTAGTTTTTGACCGTTTATTCTTTTTTCAAATTTTGTCTAACAATCTTTTTTTGATTAAGTTAAAGTGATTATAAAGTAGTATTTATTCTAAATATTCTTTAACAATTTAATCATCCTGTTACAGTCGTTGGTGCTCTAAGCCGTGACCTCTAGGAACAACAGTAATTTTTTAACCATCGAGATAAGTTGGTTCATGCAGTGCAAATGTAAACAATCTAATATTAATTATAACATTAGTATTGTTTTTAAATTTAAATTAACGTTCAATCTAGTTACAAATATTTTAGAAAAATATATTAGCTATAATATTAGCATTGTTTTTAAAGTAACTAATATGTATTAAGGTTATAAAATTAATTGTAATAAATTTTTTTTTATAAATTTTAAATATAATCTTATTCCTACGTAGAAATGAGAGGAAGGAGGACTTTGTCTCTAGAAAAAAGTAAGATGAATGCTCTTAGTAGGTCTAAATTCATGACTTAAAGAAATATAAATTAACAAAGATAAATAACTTTACTGACCAAAGTTAAATATTTTCAGTAAATAACTTTACTGACCAAAGTTAAATATTTTCAGTAAGTACCTCTGTGTGAATATTTGGTTTCAAGATTATTTTTTTTATTCTTATTGGATTTATTTATTTATTCAAATAAATGACATGCCAGTAGCGTCTAATAGGGTTTAACGCTATGGTATTCAAAAAAAAATCTAATAGTGGTGACTAAATTCATAACAATCTAAGAATTGGATGATTCAGTTGAAGGATTTTTTGGTGACAAAACTAATAGCACCCTAAAAGTTGGGTGACCATTGGTAGTTTAACCTAAAAATGAAAATAATTTATATATAGCTTAATTATACAATAAGTACTTAAACTATATCGCTTTTTTCTAAATAAGTGTACAAAATGTTTTTGAATCATAAGGTGTCTAACATTACAAACTTTACCGTTTTAGGTGCCCAGATCGTAACCACCATTAAAATTTATTGTTAAGTGACACGTATCACCTTTAGGTAATTTTAAAATTTTTATTTAAAATTAAAAAAATAAATTTATATTAAAAAAGCACACAAAAATTCAAAATAGTCCCAAAACTTTGAAAACTCTCATTTAACCCCTAAACTCACAATGCATGTTGCCCTTTATTATTGACAAAGCTCCACCTGACCTCACATCTCATGACGATCAATAATGAAATCATAACAAATGGACGACTAATCAATAATCAATTGACGTTTTGTACATCGTAAACCCTAAGCTAAAAATCACAACCCCACACAATCCCTATGACCAATCGATGATAACCATGACAACATATGACTTGGAAGATGGCAGGATTACATCGATGATGGTGGTTGTGGCTGCAAGGGCAAAAACAATGGGTTAGGGTTAAGGATTGATGGTTTTTAGGGATTTAGGGTTTTTTGTAATTTAAGAGAAATTATATTTTTTATAATAATAATAATATTATTATTATTTTTAGAAAAATTCAAGATTACCATAATGTGACACATGTCACTTAGCGGAGAAAATTAATGACAATTACGACCGAGAAACCTAAAATGATAACGTTTGTAACGTTAGGAATCTGAACCGTTCAAAAGAAAATAAGTATCGTTTAGAAAAAATATTATAGTTTAGACACTTATTTTATAATTAAGCCTTTATATATAGAGAAAATCGCCTCAGTGACAAAAAAAAGTTATAATATACGATTTTAACCAACTTTTTTTGGATTTGCCAAAATGACCAACAAAATCGCAACGCGAAATAAAAATCGCAACGCGATCCCCAGAATCGCAAATCAGTTTCCAAAATCGCAACGCGATTCTTGAAAATCGCAATGCGATAGTCAAATTCGCATTGCGATTTTCCAAAATCGCAACGCGAATATGAAAATCGCAACGCGAACACATAAATCGCAACGTGTATCCGTAAATCGCAACGCGTATGGGTAAATCGCAACGCGTTTCCGTATATCGCAACGCGTATCCGTAAATCGCAACGATAATCCGTAAATCGCAACGAGAATCTGTAAATCGCAACGATAATCCGTAAATCGCAACGAGAATCTGTAAATCACAACACTGAAATTTTGGGTATATAACACTGAAATCATAAACTAAATCCCTAAATCGCAACTCATTCCATCTCCATCTATCACTCTCTCCGGCGACATCCGTTCCTATATCCAACGACATCCTTCCCAATCCGGCAACAGGTTTTAGTTTCGCAGCTCGTCTGTTTAGTAAATTAATTTACAACCATGAAATCATCTAATGTTGATCATGTTTGGATAGATTTGTGTTTTGGAGGGTCATGGGATAATGTTCATGGTGTTTTACAATATATGCCTTTACCCATGAATCTTCAACTAAAATTGTCTTTACAAAAGTTAACTTATGAAACTCTAATGCTACGTGTTTCAAATAAATTGAATTTAGAGCCCCTAAGTGGATTTAGGTTATCTTATCAGAGAAATGGTAAAGTTTATTTGTTAACCGACAATGAAGATGTTGAACGATTCATTGCTTACATTAGGGTTTCACAAGATGATGTTACATTGTATGTTGTTGAACCTAGAAGTAGTATTGTGGGTCAGTAGCGGGTAGTAATCAACTAAGTTTTTCTCAAAACCCACAACCTTTCTCTAATCCAAATCCCAATCAACTTTCAGCACCAAATTCCGGTTTTCGTATTGACCAGTTAGACGATGATGAGCCAACAGAAAAAATTGTGAGTACTAGTCAGTATTCGAAATTTGGTCTTGGTCAATATCCGGACTTTGATATTGGTCAATACACGGATTTTGATGATGTTCAGAAGAAGAAACAGACCATGCGTGTAATGATATTGATATTGGTCAATACCCGAATTTTGATGATGAAACAGCCGTTGCCGAAGAATGTAATGTTGATGATAATGAGGAGGAAGTTACGACTGTGAATGAACATGTTGAACATCCATTCTGTAATTCATATAATCCTGAAGAAGAAAAAGAAGAAGAAAAAGTCCCCGAAGAAAAGAAAATGCCACGGGCGTATAACTGGAATATGCCAGAATTACTTCAGATACCGGAAGAAGAGTTGATAAAGAAAGCAGTTGATTGTTACACAAAAGTTATTCGTATCAAGAAAGATGATTGTTTTGATACAAAGGAAGACTTGAAGATAGCTTTATATACGAAATGTGTGGAAGATGGCTATCAACTAAAAGTTAACAAATCAAGCAAAGATCGTTTCGAAACAAGGTGTATGATTGACAAAAACTGTACGTGGCGTATGATTGCAAAGAGAATAAAAGATTGCAAAATGTTTCAAGTTAGGACTTTTATTGATAAACATACATGTTCAAGAACCCAAGTTTTTCCTCACCATAGACAGGCAAACAAAAAGGTGTTGGGTGGTTTTCTGGCTGAGTTAATGTTTTTGAATGGCAGGGTATATCGGGGACATGAAATTATGACTGACATGAATGCTCGGTTCAAGATTAGTATATCATATTCTCAAGCTTGGAGAGCCAAATGTTATGCCTTGGAATTGTTGAGGGGGTCGCCAGAAGCATCGTTTGCCCAACTGCCGGCTTATTGTCACAATTTAAAGCTGAAAAATCCTGGGTCGGTAACTCATATCAAAACAGATAGAGATGGACGCTTTGAGTTGCTGTTTTATCGCCATTGGTGCTACGGTTAGTAAATCAATATAATTTTGTTGACTCATTTTTGTTAGTTACATGCATTTCACATTTAAATGATTATATTTCTTGTGTATATTATTTTGTAGATTCGTTCGTTTATTACTTGCATGCGCCCAGTTATTATAGTTGACGGAGCACATTTGAAAGGTCGATACCTTGGAGTAAACTTATTAGCAGTAGCCATGGATGCTAACAATGGGATATTGCCAATAGCTTACGGGGTTGGCAAATCTGAAACATCTGATTCATGGACATGGTTTATGGGGCATCTTAGGGATTGCATAGGTCCTATTAGCAATCTGACAATCATATCCGATAGGGCAAACTCAATTGACAACGCTGTTAGAAGGTGTTTCCCAGATGCTTTTCATGGACTTTGTGGTGTTCATTGTATAGAAATCTAAAATCAAGGTCTGCTGGTATAAAAAAGCACAAATGGACATACTGGAAGGCTGTAAAAGCTTATCGGGAAGTGGATTTCAATAAGCATATAAATTGTTTAAGACGTGTTTGCCTCAGTGTGCTCAAACACTAGAAGATGTCGGGTTTGAAAGATGGTCAAGAGTACATCAACTTGGAGCAAGATATGGTTTCATGACGTCTAATAGTGCAGAATCAATCAACGCTCTAAGTCGTCATTCCCGGAAATTACCCATTACTATGTTAATGGAGTTTTTTCGAGCCTCTATTCAACAGTGGTACTACAAGAAAAGAAACCATGCAGGTATTATTTCTTTGAATTCGTAACTTATCATATTTATATTTTACTAAGTATTGTTTATTTAAATTTACAGGAACATTGGAACATCGTGTTACACCATGGACTGAAAAAAAGATAACAAAACGTGTTGTGAAGTCAACGTCATGGAGAGTTGAACCATGTTCAAACACTTTGTTTCAAGTACTGGATAATAACTTAAATGGGCTAGTCGATCTAAATGCAAAGACGTGTAGTTGTATGAAATGGCAAACATCTGGTTATCCGTGTGGCC